TAGTCATATTCCCAATTTGATTTACCTTACTTCATTTATAAAGTGATCGATGCATTGAAATGCGAACTCTTTAATTTCATTCTTACTGGTCAATTGTTTACTCGAAACTTCGTTTAAATATCACAAATCAAAAATTTCCCTTATATAAATGCCCAAGGAAACATCCGATCAATCATCTTCAGTAACAAATCCTACTCCGTTTATAACCACTTACAGCTGGAAAGTTTCGAACTTTCAACAGCTCAAAGAAAAGACATGTATCGGCAAACATGTATACAGTCCCCCGTTTTGGAATAACTATTCTGGTTCCTGGCGTTTAAAACTTTATCCGAACGGGAACGGCAATGCGATAAATGATTATTTAAGTTTGTACCTTGAAGCAATCCAGACTCCATACGAACAATTTCACAACATTTCATCGCGACGAATAAGATTCAATTTTCGGCTCGAAAAATTGGATCTTGTAAGTAGTCAGCCATCAAAAATATTCGATCTATGTAATCAAAATTGGTTCATGAATCATGAATTTCAATTTGATGGTGATGTTGATTGGGGTTTTACAAAGTTTTGTTATTCTAATAAAATTTTTCAGCATGAAGCTGATAAATCAAAAAAGATCGTTCTAATCTTTCATGTTAATATTATAAATGATGACAACGACCAAGATAACAACGAGGAAAGGAATCTTTATTATACTTATACTACTGGCAATGAAAAATTCTTTGAAGATCCATCTTTTTCGGATATCGAATTTGAATTGGACTGCGGGGCTCGTATCAAAGCTCATAAAGTCATTTTGGCTGGTGGATCTGATTACTTTGAAAAAATGTTTAAAGGCGGCTGGAAGGAAAAGAATACTCTGTGTATCAAATTTCACGATATTACTTACAAAACTTTTCGAGGAATCTTATTTTATATTTACACTGAGAAGTGGATGGATATAATCGATCTTGACTTGTTGATAGAAATGTATGCTAAAGCTGATATGATGGGATTAAATAGATTGAAAAAAATGGTCAGCAATAAAATTTGTGGAATGCTGAATATTGATAATTGGGATCAAATATGTAATTTTGGTTGGGAAAACGACGATCTACAATTTAAAATAGCGGGTTTTAACTTTGTTGCTGATAATTGGAAATCC